TTGACGTTTCGGGTCAGGACCCTTCTTCGGAAATCTTCAGAAATCATTTCTGAAGAAGGGTCCCGACCTGAAACGTCAACTTTCCTGCTCCTCTGATGCTGCCTGGCCTGCTGTGTTCCTCTAGCTTCACACTGTGTTATCTCTGACTCCAGCATCGGCAGTTCTTACTATCTCTGCTCTAAAGATTCACGTCCTTTTGAGTCAAGACTTTCTCCCTTAGCTCGATCTGAAATGATCAATCCTTTACCCTGAAGCTATGCTTATGAGTTCCAGGCTCACAGCCAGGAGAAACAATCTTTCAGCTTCCAACCTGTCAAATGTTTTCAGAATCACCATAAGCTTCAATGAGATCAATGTTATTTCTCATAGACTTCAAAATATAGGTCCACTCTACCTAACCTCTCCTCAGGCAGCAACCCTCTGGGGCCAGCTATTAAAAGCTGATGCTTGTGCTCTCCCACTACTTTTTACATTATTCAGGATTACCTTGTAAAATTAGTCAAAGTGGTAGCTTTTGTGACCATTATTTGGGACCGACTTGGATGCTGTTCAGTTTTTACAAACAGCAAACCACCCACACATAATTACAGTGACTCTAAACAGAATGACTGTTGGTTAATTGGCTATTTCCATGTAATGGTGAGAACATGGAAACAGGTACTAACAATAATTCCCATGGATATTATAACCATATTATAGTCTATAACAGGATTATCCTGTTACCTGTACAGGCAATGCAGTGTAATCACTGAGAGGAGAGTCACAGTGGTAACGGTGATGTCATTGGACCAGCAATCCCGAACCCCAGACCAATGCTGTGGAAACATGGCTTCAAATCCCATATACAACAGTGTGGAGCTGGAGGAACACAGCAGGCCAGACAGCATCAGAGGAGCAGGAAAGCTGATGTTTCGCGTCGGGACCCTTCTTCAGACAAAGGGTGCTGACTTAAGACATCAGCTTTCCTGCTCCTCTGATGCTGTCTGGCCTGCTGTGTTCCTCCAGCTCCACACTATTATCTCTGACTCCAGCACTGGCAGTTTTTACTATCTCTGAGTGGGCTTCAAATCCCATCATGGTTTATGTGGAAATTTGGATTTGATTTTTAAAAAAAAAACATATCTGAAATAAAAGCCGGCCTAACCATTACTGATTGCCATTGAAAATCCATTTAATTCACTCATGTCCTTTGTGGAGGGAAATCTATTGTCCATACCTGCCCTGGCCTGGCCTGCACATGACTCTGGGCATTAAAGGCTTGCCTGTGATACTCATAATCCCAAGAATAAATTAAAAACTTCTTAACAGTACAGAAGGTTATGATGTTAACATCAATGTGCAGATGACAACTTTTGATTATGTAGCACTTTTAAAGCAATAAAACATTCCATGGAACTTCACAGGAATGTAATTAAATGAAACGTGAAACCAGGTCATCTGAGATATTATGGATGATGACCAAAGCTTCAAAGAAATAATCTTTAAGGGGTCTCTTAAAGGAGGAGAGAGAGGTGCAGAGCTGGAGAGGTTTATGAAGGGAATTCCAGAGGCCAGGACCTCATAGTTGAAGCCAGTGTAGGAGTGATTAAAATTGAAGATGCACGAGAGGCATTAGCAGAGTTGCGGTATCTTGAAGTCGAAGAGCTGGAGAAAATTAGAGAGATAAAGGAGGTGCAAGGCTTTGTAAGGATCTGAAAACAAGAATCAGAATTATTAAAGTGAGATTCCACTTGGTGAGCTGCTGCCGTTTATGAACACCATGGTGTTGGGCGAATGAGACTTGGTCTACATGAGCAGTCAATACATGAGCAATCATCTCAAGCTTCAATTGGCAATGACAATGTAGAGTAGCCTAACTTCAGTTCATGCTGGGAGATAGAATTAGTGAATCTCAGTGAATGGCAGTAAGGACACTCCAGTTAGCCTCAGCGGCTTTCCCACTTCCAAGATCAGGTGCCAAGAGAGGTTGAAGGAACATCACTGGCACAGCTGGAAATGTGCAGTGAACAGCAGACGCCCATGGACAAGAGATCCTACAGTGAAACCAATGGCTGTGGAGACACACCCTGACACAAAACTTGCGAGATGGGGTAAATTGGATTAACACCACATTTTTGCAACATTCCAAAGATGTCCAGAGAATTCCTCCACAGAGTAAAGCCTAAAAACTGACATGTTGCACTGCAATAATTCATTCAGTTCAATGCTGAGTCATGCACAGTCCAGTTTCAATCCATGGTCTGCACAGAGTTAGCTCATCTCAGCCCAGGCAGCAGTGCAGATAATTTAACAAAAGAAATTTGTTTGGACAGTGCAATTTCCCCTTCCCCGAGCCCTGAGATGAAAATCAAATCACACCAGATCAAGTGGCTGCCTTGAAGTGAGGCCATGCATGGCATCAGTTGAGAACAGGCTGAGACTTTCCTGAATGGTGAAGTTAATTGACAAAATCTCACTGTCAAGCCTCATGCATTTAAATATGGCTCACTGGATGAGACCAGAGAGTTCAGTCCATGTCACCACCTTCAGGAGAGATGAGCACATGACTCTTTTCCCTCTCACATTGGGAGAACTAGTTCCCTTTTATAGACCAGTTGCTATCCACACCCCAAACCCCCACCACAGCTCCCCTCAACTATTCACTCAAAAGACTGCTAAAACCAAGCTGCTAAAAATTGTCGGTGATGGAAGAACCAGTTGCAGTTTAGAACAGAGATAACAAGGTGTAGAGCTGGATGAACACAGCAGGCCAAGCAGCATCAGAGGAGCAGGAAGGCTGACGTTTCGGGCCTAGAGCCTTCTTCAGAAATTCTTCTGTAACCTTCTTCTAGGCCGGAAACGTCAGCCTTCCTGCTCCTCTGATGCTACTTGACCTGCTGTGTTCATCCAGCTCTACACCTTGTTATCTCAGATTCTCCAGCATCTGCAGTTCCTGCTATCTCTGAAGCAGTTTAAAAGTTTTTCTTTGTAAAATTTAATTGAACAAAGTGTCAAATTAACCTTCCAGCTCTAGATCTTTTCAACAGATTCAACTGCAAGTTCAGGATGGTTCATATAAATCTATAATTTACCAAAATATTGATCTTTAAAAAAAGTCGTGTTCAGTGCAGAACCAATGGGCTGCAATGTGGGAGTCCAGTGGAATCTGAAATATAAGCAAACTTAACACACCGGTTATTGGTACAGGTCAGAATTCCAGTGCAGAAAGTTGCTGGGAATGTTGTTCCTGCAGCTACAGAATTTAAAAGATTACTCTTTGTAGTGTTTAAGTAGCCTGCAGCCATATTAATTCGAGCAGGCACCAATCCCACCTTTTTACGAGTTTAGTCACTGTAGCCTCGCTGGAGGTGAGAGTCAGCATAGCCAGGGAGAGCGAAACTTCCCCTTAAAGCTCACTAAAGCTTCAAAAAAAAAGGAATGAACAAAGACATTGAAACCGTACCGCAGTCCCAACTCTTCTCCTGTTTAACAATTCAATCCGCGCCTTTGAAATAATAAAACCAGTCTTATAGACGCTGTCAGCCCACCACCCTCAGGACCCACAATGGAAATGGAAGGGACTCTTGCTCTGTGCTAGGAATGAATGTGTCACGTTTAACTCTGCTTTAAAGAGAAAAGATCAGATTAAGTAGCGTGAGAATTGCACTTTAACCCAAACCCGAGAGATCAGACTGAGAGTCTCGCAACCTGGACTTCGAAATAAAGCTTTCGAAAGGAGGTAAAAGGAGTTAATTACCACGCAGGTAAGATCGAATGTAAATGCAACAAGTGGCGTGTACACCGTTCCCTTTAACCCGAGAGAGTGTAAGTTTCAGCCGATACAGTTTCTCGCTGACTCTCTCCCCTTACCTTACAAGAGTAGGTGTTGTAAACGGGATCCACGTTCATAATCTCCTCCACCGTCCCCGTTAAGACAACATTCGCTTCTTCTTCCCTAGTCTCCAACTCCTTCTCCGGGCACAAACTCCAGCAAACATCTACAGCGAGGGACAGCAGCAATATTTGGAGAGAGAAAGCCACTCTCCCGGCGCTTTGTCGTCCCATAGTCACCAACACACACAGAACTGGGGAGACTATTTCTAGGTTCTTCTGTTTTAAGAGAGCGTTCAGAAGTCCGGAGCTAGGTCTACAGCCCCTCCCCGACACCTTGGCTGGTTATCCCCCCACCCCCACTGCTTTTAAGACATGGGAAGGAGGAGGAGGAGGAGGAATAGGGAGGGAACAGCCTGGTTGCAAACACCCAGGAACAGAGAGATGCAGCTAGAGAGAGAGAGAGAGAACAGTAAAGGCTAGCTGGCGCTCACACAAAGCTCCAGCCTCGCTTCTCTCAGATTTGCATAATCACAATACGGATCAGGAACCCTTTCTCTCTCACTCACTTCATTCACTCTCCTGATTGCAATGCACGCCAGCTTTAAAACACCACCCCCCGGAAATGCAGCTAAAAACTCCGGCGTTAATCAATAACCGCACGCAGACGTGATCAGACTACTGCTGTTCCTGGCTGAACCGGAGAATTCCTGCTGGAATCCAAAACGTCAAATCCGAGATTAACCCGGCCTCTCTGTCTCTTTCTCTCTCCCCTCTCTGTTGTCGAAGCCGGCATTGTCTGATGTTCCTTTCGTTCTAAATCAAGTTGTAGTTTGTGGTGCAAGGCTATGCCTCAGACCATCAATCAGAGAGGGGCACCAGTGAGTCATGGTGCCCAGGACAAGTTGTGAATTTGGTCAAAGGCAGTGTGTCTGCTCCATCCCCTCCCCAGCACACACACCTGAAAGATGACCTTGTGAGCTCTCCGTTGGCTGCCAAGTTAATACCAAAGGTAGGTTTCGCCCGGTCTCAGTGGCCCAACTCATTTCAAAGGAATCCAAATGTACGCCAGAAGTTACCTGCGAGGCTCTGGATCAGGAGCTGGAGAGAGGGATTAGAATGAGTGCAGACACTATTGGCTGAATGGCCTCTTTCTGTACTGTAACCTGACATGGTTCATAATAAAGACCAACACCACCATCACCAGGTTGTCTTCATTTTTCAGTGTACAAAATGATCAGATGTATAGATAGAGTGGACAGCCAGAGACTTTTTCCTAGGGTGGAGGTAGCTATTATGAGGGGGCATAGTTTTAAAGTGAGTGGAGGTAGATATAAGGGAGACGTCAGAGGTAGGTTCTTTACTCAGAGTGGTGGAGGCGTGGAATGCATTGCTGGAGCGGGTAGTGGAGTCGGCCTCATTAGGGGCATTTAAGCGGCTATTTGATAGGTATATGGATGATAGTATAATGTAGGGGTGGAGGTTAGATAGACGTTAGGATTAGATTAAAAGTTCGGCACAACATAGTGGGCCGAAGGGCCTGTGCTGTGCTGTACTGTTCTATATTCTGTGTTCTAAACTCCATTATGCAGTTGTGTGTTTCGCTTGCACCATTACCAGCTTCCATTCTCAGGTGAAAACTGAAAGAACTGTGGATGCTGTAAAACAGAAACTAGAGAAATTGCTGGAAAAGCAAAAAAAAAGAGTTCTGAGGAAGGGTCACTGGACCCAAAACATTAATTTTGACTTCTCTCCACAGATGCTGCCAGACCTGCTGAGCTTTTCCAGCAATTTTTTTTTTTAATTCTAAGGTGTTGCACTTATGACATCCGAGGTGTTCTCTGTGTTGTAGTACACCTTTAACCCATAACCCAGTCGTAATGGGCCCTCGAGACAGCTTTGTTTTTATTTATTCATTCACAGGATTTGAGATGTCATTGGTTAGGCCAGCATTTAGTGCCCATCCCTAATTACCTGGAGGGCAGTTAAGAGTCAGCCACATTGCTGTGGGTCTGGAGTCACATGTAGATCAGATCAGATAAGGGTGGCAGTTTTCCTTAAAGGGCACGAGTCGACCAGAATGAAAGCAGAAATTGCTGGAGAAACTCAGCAAGTCTGGTAGCACCTGCAGAGAAAAAGCAGAGTTAACGTTTCAGGTCCAGTCACCTTGCTTCAGTTTCATTAGACCTTAATTCTAGATTTTAATTGAATTCAATTTCCACCATCTGCCTTGGTGAGATTCAAATCCCGGTCCCCAGAACATTATATGGGTCTCTGGATTAACAATCTAGTGTCAATATCACAAGACCATTGCCTCCCCTGCTTTCGATCGGAATGGACACAGTCCAAAGGGACATTATGTACAATTCTCTAAACTGGGAGTTGGATCAGGGGAATACCTGAGAAATATCCCAATGACTGCTTCTGTGTACAACCCCTGTACTCAAACATCCTGAGTCACACTGCTGTCACATATTGCCCCTGGTGTTGAGATGGATGAATTTGTCCACTTTCCTGGAGAAAGTCCCCGTCAGTTGGACATTGTCCGTCTTGGAAAGGTTTGTGCATTGACACACCTTTGACTACAAGTCCATCACACAATGGCCAGCACGTAACATATTTGAGGAACTGCGGGAAAGGAGATGGAACATAATGGATGGTTCCTAGAACAGATTGTAAAAATCATTTGGTGGAAGGCCTCACTGCCAGAACATTCAAACAAGCAGCAAGGTGCAGCTCCCTAGTGGTAGGGAAGGCTGTCTTGTCAGATTCCTCATTCACATCCAACATCTGAGTGCCATTGTACACGAAGAGACTGGCGGGCATTCCCACCTGGAATGTACCTTGGCAAAGAAGGTCTGGAAAGAGGTGCAAAGTTGGACAACATTCATCCTGAACAATGCCATAACACTGGGCTCAGTGCTCTAAAGAAAATGAAAATGTGAACACTCTTTCTCATCAGGATCTTAGCACTGATCTCCTATGGCATGTGGAAGGATTTTCCCAAAAGTAACTGAGCTGTTGTGACTGGAATAAGTCCAGGTTTGACTCCAATTAAATTGATACTGGTACAACAAAACCCAAGTTCATAAATTTGGGAATATCTAATTTTGAGGGACTGAATATAGGAATAGGAGAAAATAAGATGGGCAACTACATTAACAAGCAACAATGTAAATCTAGGAACAGAATTAGGCCATTCAGCCCATTAAACCCACCCTCATTCAATACGATCTTAACTGATCGAGCATTTCAATGTCTTTTTGTCACCCCCAACATCGTAATCCTGTACTCCACAGGTAATCAAGAAATCTATCACTCTCTACCTTCAACATTCTCAAAGACTAAACTTCCGCAGCCCTCTGTGGCAGAGAATTCCAAAGGTTCACCGCCCTCTGAGTAAAATCATTTCTCCTCAACTATAATCTCCATGGCATTCCCCTTATTTTTAACTTGTGCACCCTGGTTTATACAATCCAACCAGGGAAATCATCTTAGCTGCATCTACTCTGTCTATCCCTTAAAGTATTTTGTCAGTTCACCCCTCATTTTTTGAAGCTCTAAAGAATACAGACTCAGTTTGACTAATCTTTCTTCATAGGTCAGTCTGACCATCCTGGGAACTTGTCTTGGGAATCTTCACTTCACTCCCTATACAAACAATGGGAAACCTTTAAAGCAGAGTTTAACAGATTGCAGGAAAATGCATCCTGCTGTAACGAAAGAGCAACTAAAGACTTGTACCACTCCATGTTTGAATGGAAGCGCAAGGGCACATTTCAGGAAAAATTCATACATTATGTACATAAACTGCAGATGACTGCACAAAAGGAGAAAATAAAAAGATTAGGAGAAAAATTTAAAAAAAAACAGTTAGGAAAGCAAGTTGACATAAAGTATGAAGAAGCATATAATGTCAATAAGTCTAGAAGATTGTAGGACATTGAAGCAGAAATAGGCTATTCAGCCCATCAAGTGTGCTATACCATTCTCGCCATAGCAATGATGATGTGTTCAATCCACTTACTGCGGCCTTCATTCTCTGTATAGACCCATCTTCCCATGTGCAGCTACCTTCTTAAACAACATCTAAAATCAGACATCCTTTGAAACAAGGAATGAAAAACACAGGAAGACATAAACAAGTTCCTTCTTGACAAACCCCATCTGCCGAGTGGAAAACTTTGAAATCGTGCAGTGAGAGACGTCCTTGCAAAGTAAGTTCAAGACAATCCCAGGCCCCTGTACAACCCCACTGTCTATGTACCACAGCATGAACCCCTCACACTCTGGAGACACAAGTAAGGCCATACATTCTTGAGGAATGTTCCCTCTCCAGAATTGATCTCCCAAAAGTCCAGAAATGGGGAGGCTGTTGCTTGGCACTGGAGGGGATTACGCTTGCTAAATAACCAAGTATGGGGAACATAAAACAAATAGTAAATATTTTACAGGAACATCCACTAAAAATGAGAGGCTGTGATAAAAACAGGACATTTATGGGATAGGCAGGACAACACCACAGATATTACCAAAGTGATGGCAGAAATATTAAATAATTATTTCATTTCAGCATTAGGGAGGGTATGCTAAACTCGTTTTGAACCTCAGGAGACCACACTTGGAGAACTGTGTGAAGTTCTGGTCACCGTATTATAAAAAAAAAGACGTTAAGGCACTGGAAGGACTCACAAGGATCAAATCTGTGTGAATGGGTAAAGGCACCATAGCCGTATTCCCTAATTAGGGGCAAGAAGCCTGGTGGATGGTTTAAGATGAGGGCACCGTTCCCTAGACGAGGGGAGAGGTTGAGAAAAATATTCCTTCATGGCAACCTCAGCCAACGCAGGAATTGAACACATACATGTTCTGTATGACTATCATCAACCATCACCATCAACCAGCCAACCAACCAACTAAACTAACCAACCGCCATATAAAAAGTAGGGAAGGAAGAGCAGAATGGATCCCTTTTCTCTTCAAAAACAAGTCTGAGTAGTGACATGTAGGAATCTTAAAGGTTTTGGTTGAATAGATGCAGAAAGAATGTTTCCTGTTACAGGGAAGAGCAGAATTGGAGGCCATCAATATGAGATGGGCATCTAGAAATCTAATAGGGAATTCAGAAAAACACAGCTATCCAAATGGGAGTGAGAATGTGGAACTCACTACCCCTAGAGGGATTGAAGCTAGTGGTATAGATTCAATTAAGGGGAAACTAGGCAAACCTTTGAGGAATAAATTGATGGTTAAGATGGTAGATTTAGATGTGAAAATATAGGAATAGGCTGAAACAGAGCAGAAACACCAGCATGCACCACTTGGAGTGAGAGATAGTAGGAACTGTAGATGCTGGAGAATCTGAGATAACAAGGTGTAGAGCTGGATGAACACAGCAGGCCAAGCAGCATCAGAGGAGCAGGAAGGCTGACGTTTCTGAAG